ACAATTGAAAATCATTTTTGTTGTTGCAAGCACTGAAAAAAAAGAATTTTTTAACTTATATCTAGATCTTATAGAAAAAACTATTTCTTTTAACTTATTTTTTTTGACTTATATCTAGATCTTATAGAAAAAACTATTTCTTTTATAAAAAAAAATTTTTTTTTCATTTTTTCCTTTTTTTTCCATTACTTCCCGATGTCATATAGAATTTTTAAAGTGTTCTAGCCAGTACTTTCATTTCGTTGTTTCACTCGTTCTTTCATTTTCTTTCTCTCTTTCTCTCTCTCTCTCTCCCTCTCTCTCCCTCTCTCTCTCTCTCTCTCTCTCTGTCTCACTAAAAAATGCCTATTTGACTAGTAAATAGACAATTATGACAAATAAGTATATACTATGTAAATGAAGTGAAATGATCTAACTCCCTAATCCAGTATCTCACTTTATCTCTTTTTTTCCATGTATTAAATTTCTCTTTCTCCCTTATATATATATATATAATATATATATAATATATATATATATATATATGCAGTTGTTGTGGCGACAGTTTAACTACATTATGACGTATGACATTTAGTTGACTAATTGGCGTCATCAGAGCGACATTCTTCTCACCAAAGCAGAGAAACCGGTCAAAAAATGCTCGGCTCAAAAAAAGCATTCTATTCAAATGTTTGTAATCTGATAGGAGAAGAGCTTCGACTATTGGAAAAATCTTGGTGGGCGGAGAAGGCGCAAGAACTTCAAACAGCTGCTGGCAAAATCATTCTACCACTGGGAGTACAAGGTGCCCAAGACAGAGGTTCTAATAGCTTGTGGTATTTCGGGCATTGAAGTCTAAATAAACCGGGCCCAGTTTTGTAAGATTGGTCATGTCGTTTGCATGTCGGACTCAAGAATCCCAAAACGGCCCAATACGGCGATACAGGAAGAGCCTGAAGGATAATCTGAGGAAATGTAGACTCAATCCAGACTCCTTCTGCCATGATGCTCTCCGGCGCTCGAAGTGGGGAAGAAATGAAAGAAGTCGAATCGCTGCGCTTGACGATGAAAGAAAACATCGTAGACGCGACTTCCAAAGCGGCGGCGGCACTGAAGCGTAGATCTGTCAGTTTGGTTCACTGGGATGCCTATCAAGCGATCCATCGGACCAACGGTGCAGTTCACATGTGTTTATATATGTGTGTGTATGTGTGTGTGTGTGTGTGTATGTGTGTGTAAAGTCCTTGTGTCACTTGTTGAATATCACTATATTTCAACTTCTACAAAGTGTTAAAGATCGGGTTTTGTGGAGATCGGTGGTCGCCAATGTCCTGAAAAGATAAGGCACGAGAAGGAGAAGAAGAAGAAGAAGAAGAAGAAGAAGAAGAAGAAGAAGAAGAAGAAGAAAAAGAAGAAGAGGATTGAAGAAGAAGGAGAAGAAGAAGAAGGAGAAGAAGAAGAGGATTGAAGAAGAAGGAGAAGAAGAAGAAGGAGAAGAAGAAGAATTGCATCTCACGTATCTACTATGTATTTACGTTTGCATGGGTGTGTATATGCATGCATGCATGCGAGTGTGCATTTGTGTGAATGAGTTAATGAATGAATGAATGAATGAATGAATGAACGAATGAATGAATGAATGAGCGAATAAATGAATGAACGAATAAATGAACGGTTCACGGTTTTTATTGGCGGCGTGTGTTCAATATATTGAGTAGCGGCTTGTACATTACAAATCAGCTGTACACACACGCACACATACACACACATACAAGCACACACACACACACACTCACATACACACACAGTGATAAAAAATTACTGAAATTTTAATTTTATTCAAATAACTTCTCCCAAGCTCTTATCACCGGATTATTCAAATGCAGATTTGCGAAGAGATTTTTCCTTTAAATGTTCACCCAGATTAGCTCGTTGCACACACACATACACATACATTTTACTCAAGTTCACACTCACACACACACACATTCAAATGTAATCGTGTGATATTTAATGCACCTTTCGCATCTCTCTGCTCAACATCCATCTAATTTCGTGCTGGAAATGCTGTGAACTTTTTTGGAGCCTATCAAAAAACGAAAAAAGGTTCTTTTTTTCAACCTGAAATGATTTATGACCACTTGGAGAATGCTTCGGACACATTTTGTTCTTTGTTTATTCTTTATAATAATTATCATTATTATTAAATTAATATTATTAGATTAAATTATTATTATTAGATTAAATAGGATTTTATAATTATTTCATTATTAATATTTGGTATTTATTTGGAGTTAGAAAATAAAAGGATGTTCCCATAACTATTATGATTTTATTTAAATTTTAATTTAATTTTATTTTAATCATGACTATTTCTCTATTAATTAACTAATTATTGACTTTACGCATTAATAATTCTTTTTCATTTTGTTACTCTAGTTTTTATATTATTTTACCATCTTTGTACACATTCGCAATGACGAGCATTGATGTTAAATTATCCATTATTTTAATCTTTTAACTATTATAATAATAATTGATCATTTTATATTTAATTGTAATTTTTATTTATATTTTGGCTCCTGAAGAAATAAAAAAGTTCTCATAAATTTGAATATATTTCACAGCTCTGTACTTTTATTTTGAATCAATCGTAGAGGTTTCATATTATTCACATTATTTCACCATTTCGTGGTTATTGAAAATTTAACAATTATTTATTACCCTGGCTTTGATTAAAAGAGTTCTCATTATTATAACTATTATTATTGTAATTATTATTATTATTATTATTATTATTATTATTATTATTATTATTATTATTATTATTATTATTATTATTATTATTATTAGCAAATTAGACTAACAGCTAGTCTAGTAGTTAGACAATTAGACTAATTTAAATACTTTATTATATTAAACATTATTTTATATCTATCTTTATATTCATTTTGTGATATTTAATAAAATTAAAGCAGTGTTCCCATTATTATTATTATTATTATTATTATTATTATTATTATTATTATTATTATTATTAATTCTTTTTCATTTTGTTGTTTCATTACATTTAATTAATTAATTGGATATAATTGTAATTGGATGATGATGGAGTGATTGCAAGATGGTGCAGCAAGTGGTGAAGATGCCCTCTTGTACCTTGTCCATACTTTGGCAAATTCAATAAATAGTAATGAAAATTTTCTAATTAAATTCATTCGTTCGTTCGTTCATTCGTTCGTTCGTTCGTTAGTTCGTTCATTCATTCATTCATTCATTCATTCATTCTTTCATTCATTCATTCATTCATCATTTTCTCGCTAATTAAGTTTCTCTCATGATTTCATTTTACTTCTTGGAAACTGCGTCTCTTTAATAAAATTTATACATTCACGATCCTCACAAAAAAGAATAAAATAATAACAATAATAATTATAGCAATAATAATAACAATAGATAATAATAATAAATTAAAAAGACGT